AGCGTCAGGAGTTTGTCACCAGATGGTGTTTTTTGGACCACTTTGAGGGCCTAGATGAGGGTGATGGCACAGGCTAGAGGGCGGCAGACAAAAATTTTCCGTTTCAGTGCATGCAAGGCTATCGATTTAGGGGGTCAAAACATGTATCCCGAGTTTGTCACTCAAAGTCGTCTGGCTCTCGGACTATCTACATATGAAGATCGGCTCCATCGGCATCCCACCCCAAAGCTCTCAAGCTCTTGGAATGGGACCGGTAGTGCATTGCAGATTAAAACGTCGCAAGCCCTATGAGCTTGGAGTCCAGAGCTATTCTAAATTTCCATAAATAATTACACTATACGTGCTTCCCCACGCTCCTGGGACGTGATGGGGCGTTTCTCGGACTTTCGCCGATTCAGGCCGCCCAACAACAACAGATCATTCAAAAAGACATTCTTATTACGCAAACATTTTGTTTTCTTAATCTCCTTATTTTGTAAATGTGGTATATTCTTAAAGTTTAAATTATAATAATAGTTTAAATTTTAAATTAGTGTTAAGTCATACATTAAAAGTTAAATTAAGCTTTATAATGTCATAATACATACATAAAAGTGAATTAATTCTGCAGTTTATTTTGTGCAAATAAAATCAGAAATTTGAACAAGTCAGAATCCATAGGTTCAAAAAGCGTCTGTGCCTAAAGGAAGAAAAGTAATGACTTCAACTGAAAGGTTTCTCGCTGGCATGCGTCCGGATATGTGCCTTTAGATTCTGTTTCACACTAAAAGAGGAGGAACACTGACTGCAACTAAAAGGTTTCTCGCCAGTATGCGTTCGGATACGTGCCTTTAAAGTCTGTTTTAGACTAAAAGAGGAAGGACACTGACTGCAACTGAAAGGTTTCTTGCCGGTGTGCGTTCGGATGTGTACCTTTAAAGTCGTTTTTCGACTAAAAGAGGAAGAGTAATGACTGCAACTGAAAGGCTTCTCGCCAGTATGGGATCGAATGTGTTCCTTCAAAGATCGTCTATGACAGAAAGAGGAAGAACACTGACTGTAACTGAAAGGTTTCTCGCCAGTATGCGTTTGCTTGTATATCATTAAATTATGTTTCAGACTAGGAGGAAGAACACTGACTGCACCTGAAAGGTTTCTCGCCGGTATGCGTTCGGATGTGTGCCTTTAAAGTCCGTTTTGGACTAAAAGAGGAAGAACAATTACTGCAACTGAAAGGTTTTTCGCCAGAATGCGTTCGTATATGTGCCTTTAAGTGATGTTTTTGGCTAAACGAGGAGGAGCAAAGACTGCAACTGAAAGGTTTCTCTCCAGTATGAGTTCGAATATGTTCCATCAAAGATCTTCGATAGTTAAGAGAGGTAGAACACTGACAGCAGCTGAAAGGTTTCTCGCCAGTATGGGATCGAATATGTTCCTTCAAAGATCTTCGGATATGAACCTTTAAATTACGTTTTTGACTAATATGGGAAGAGCATTACTGCTGCTGAATAGATTTCAGCCCATATGCGTCAGAATATGTAAGTTCAAAGAGCGTCTGTGTCTAAAAGAGGAAGCGCAATGACTGCAACTGAAAGGTTTCTCGCCGGTGTGCGTTCGGATATGTACCTTTAAAGTCGATTTTTGACTAAAAGAGGAAGAGCAATGACTGCAACTGAAAGGTTTCTCGCCGGTGTGCGTCCGAATATGTTCCTTCAAAGTTCCTGACTGACTGAAAGAGGAAGAACACTGACTGCAACTGAAAGGTTTCTCGACAGGGTGCGTTCGGATATGCTGCTTTAAAGTATCTTTCCGACTACAAGAGAAAGAGCAACGTCTGCAACTGAAAAGTTTTTCGCCGGTATGCGTTCGGATATGTGCGATTAGATGACGTTTCGCACTAAAAGAGGAAGGACACTGACTGCAACTGAAAGGTTTTTCGCCAGTATGCGTTCGGATATGTGCCCTTAAAGTCGATTTGTGACTAAAAGAGGAAGAGCAATGACTGCAACTGAAAGGTTTCTCGCCGGTGTGCGTTCGGATATGTTCCTTTAAAATCGTTTGTCGACTAAAAGAGGAGGAGCAATGACTGCAACTGAAAGGTTTCTCGCCGGTGTGCGTCCGAATATGTACCTTCAAAGATCCTCTACAACTGAAAGAGGAAGAACACTGACTGCAACTGAAAAGTTTCTCGCCATGGTGCATTCGAATATGCTGCTTTAAAGTATCTTTCCGACTACAGGAGAAAGAGCAATGACTGCAACTGAAAGGTTTTTCGTCGGTATGCGTTCGGATATGTTTCGTCAAAGATCTTTTGTTACTGAAAAAGGAAGAACACTGACTGCAACTGAAAGGTTTCTCGCCAGTGTGCGTTCGGATATGTACGATTAGATTACTTTGCCGACTACAAGAGAAAGAGCAATGACTGCAACTGAAAGGTTTCTCGCCAGTATGCGTTCGGATATGTGCCTGTAAAGTCGATTTTTGACTAAAAGAGGAAGAGCAATGACTGCAACTGAAAGGTTTTTCGCCAGTATGCGTTCGCACATGTATCTTTAACTGATTTTTTCGCCTAAAAGAGGAGGAGCAAAGACTGCAACTGAAAGGTTTTTCTCCAGTATGGGTTCGAAAATGCTCCTTCAAAGATAGACACTGAGTGCAACTGACCCTCCGACATGGTTTCTCGACATGACCCTCCCGCACAAGCAGTTTCGGAAGGTTATCAATCGGAGGAGATAAAGAACTTTGAGTGCTACTGACTGGTTTGTTTCGGATTTTAGTTCGATCGGTCGGAATGACTGCCCTTTCAACATGATGCTCGTTTGACGTTTTGCTGTCACATGCGTCTCCATCAGATTCCAGTTTTATTCCGCGGAAATCTTGCACTTGGTGGGGAGGTTGACCATTGACGCTTCCACCTCCCACAGAAGCAGACAGTGGAACATATTCACATGCTTCACAAGATTCATTTCCGAAATCGGGTGCACTGCCTCTTACTGGGCATCCGTCTTCGGATTGGTTGGATTGCGAAATGTATTCATCCTTAATATAAATACTGGTGTGCAAGAGGTCGGTAAACTTTTCGTCCACTTCGACTTTAATGCGAGCGGAAAGACCTAACTGAGAATCGTCTTGGAACTGTCCAGGTAAGTTAACGCCATCACTTGAGGTGGTTCCGTCCTCCCTTTTCACGGACTGGGGGGCAAGATCGCCGCGGTCATCGCCCAATTCCGATTTCGTATCCGATTCTGATGATTCATGTTTTAAAGTACCTGTGTCGCTAACTTCGGGGATGTTATCCGGCGGATCCGTCAAATATGTTATGCCCGATTCTTTCTTTGGAACTATGCCTTGAAGAGGGTCCATGTGTCTTGCGGGTGAGTATTTTCCTTCGGGCCGATCCAATTAGAATCCTGGACAGAGATAAATTTCAGCGAGTGTGAGCGCAGGTGTTTAAGACTGAAGTTTTGTAAATGCAATCATTTTACAAGATAAGTAAAAAGAGAATGAATGGCACCTGGTGCGTCTTCAGAATTAACCAGACTTGCGAGTTCACGGGATTGCACTACAGATTTATACACGATGCTAAAGATAAATTTGAGTGCATTTAATCATAATTAGGGACTTCAATTACCGTCTCATTTTAGAGACAACGTAAGGGCCATTACTTTCTATATGCAGATAGTTCATGTGTGAATGAGCCAAAAATAGTAGTTCCTAGTTGAACGATGTAGTCCGATTATTGACTTCATGACCGATTGGACGACATTTTGGAGGATTGATGCATCTCTTTTCTTTCTTAACGTAATTCAGAGCGATAACGTCAAGTCTTATCGTTGCATGATAAAATTTTATACAGATACGTACCTAAGTATTTTGAAAAAGGAAAAATCAGCAAAGTCGTCCTACTGAAAAACAGATGTACGTGCTCGAGTCCTTATCAAGCTATTTGCACCCAACTCCTCAAAATTTTCAGTAGAGAATTCGCAAAGTTCGAGATTTTCAGGAATACTAAATTTTATTTCAAAATAGAATCCTTTAAAAACAACGGAAAATATTCTCGAGTTTTCAGGAAAAGTCGTATTTAATTAGAAGAAACTTGGCAACGTTCGGTTTGTCGTTTGACGTTTTTCCTATGCAAGTCAGACTTAAACCGATTTCCGTCTACTTTCTCTCCCCGCCACCCTTCCCATCAATTTTCCTTCTACCTCTCTGATGTCCATTCCTATATCCTTAGATGATCATTTTCAGAAGAAAAGGTTTGTGGTAAACGACAGTAGCGAGGCATGAAACATCGACCATCGATTACTCCTATTCAATGCAATGCTTAAGAATCGATTACTAAGGTGTTCGTTGTGATTCTGAGCATTCTGATAATGGGTCCTGTTCCATAGGTTTAAACGGTAGACCAATCGATTTAGCGCAAAACACATCACGTCACTATTTAAATTTCACACATGGAGTATTTTGAATGCAACGAATTATTTAGTCGTCGACTTGCAGTGCATTTATCTATTCCCCGCGAATAAATTCATATTAATCATTGCAAGACAACAAAACACATTTCAACAAAACCGCTGTGCAAAGCTAGAGCGCTATGGTCAGTGGCGATTTTGCAAGTTGGCGCCACTTGTCTTCCGCCATTAAGACTAGAGTCCCTTTATACTGAGAGTCAAGACAATGTGAATCCATTTCTGATTGGTTCCCGTATTTTAGGCCTTCACAGTGTCACAAACGGCATTAAAGATTACATTTTCACCGATTGCAAAGATTATAATCTGGAATGGACCGGGGAATTACGGGATCGGCAAGGAACAAACGGAATGAGAGGAGGAACGAAAAAAGGAATTCGAGAATGGGCCGATCAAAGATTACGAAAAACGTTCAATTTCTGTAATCTTTATTCCCGTTTGTGACTCCATGAGGGGTGTTGTCTTGACTCTCAGTAAAAAGGGACTCTAATTAAGACCATTAAAGATATCGTTTTTAGGTGAGACAAGCTGTCTCACCAAGAATCGATTGTTTTACGTACATTTAAACGGTGGAAAAAAAGCGTTGCCGCCTTGAAAGAGTCTCCACTGGCTTTACTAATGCAAGGCTCGCTCGACAAGGAGGCCAAGAAGCAAAGCACCACGGAAAATCTGGCAGATTTGCCGAGGTTAATCTGCCGATGGCGAAGAGCGCCGTTAGAGCAGAGATGAAGTGTTGAGATAATGCGTTCCGTACATAACGTTTCGGAGGAACATTCTTACTACCCAAAATGAACTCATAAAAGAGAGATAAAAGATTGGAATTCTCATCAGGGTTGGGGAAAAGTCAGAGCGCCCTCAGTATTTCGTGTATGCAACGCGAACATCCGCAGAACACGAATAGTTGTATTCAGGCGTTATACAATGAAAAAAAATTCTCGGCGTTTTTACCAAGGTCCGTCGGTACCTTTACCATCTCACTTTTTTTTTACCAATTAATGGTAATTTTACCAAGACAGACTGGTAAGCTTACCTAAAAACCGGTATTTTTATTGTTTTTTTCAGGTAAGAATACCACTTTTATTAGTAATCAATTCCCGGTAACTTTGCCATTTTATCTCGGTAATTCTACCACAGTCGATAAAAAATATTGATGTTCTTACCAAGGTCCAGTAAAATTACCGAGAAAGTTCCGAGAATCTCGGTAAAATTACCAATTCCATAAATGGTAATTCCATCAAGAAAAAACTGGGATCAAATAGAACCCTGAATGTTTGGTAATTTTACCCTTTTCTCAGTAAATACACCGAGATTTTCTCTCCAGTGTAATGAAAATCCAGTGGACCAAGACACGATGAGGAATAGACCTCGTATAGACATGCGTCCACGTCAAAATCTTACGCACAGCACATAACACAAGGACATCTTCCAAAATTAACTCGTAAGTGAAGAAATAACGTCAGTAGTTACATCAATATGCAAATATACGACGTGAGGATAGAGGACATATGGCGATATATAGAGGACACAAGGCGCAATTTGAATTGAAAAGTCTCCGAAAACAAAGAGAGAAAAAATATTGATTTCGTTTACGGTTGAAGACGAAGATAACTGGTCATCTTAAAAGTTCAAAATTTTCGAACTCGCTTGCTTATTAATTTTCACGTTGCGAAAGACGCGGTTCGAAGGTCGTGCCTTCATCCTCAAGCGATGAACTACGAAACTTAAGGATTTGATATACGTTTTAGCGAATCCCGAGTACATTTGATGGGCAGTTTCTCAAAATTCAAAATATTTGAGGACTTAAAATTTGAGAAAGAAAATTCGAGGGCTTCTCGATGTGTTACATACCCCGTAAACGTGTCCTGAGATCCTGCAGTTTTTAGATCCCTAATTTCAGAGAGATCCACGAATCGCAATGCTGGGATACATAAAATATGTGATGGAGATAAAAATATCTTCACAGGAACTTACCTGAAACAAAAAGTAGAAATGTTCGTGTCACTTTAGATCGAGCTGCGCAAAATAGTGAGATTGTGATATGATTATTGGCATTAGCCAGAAAGCTCTTGCGCAATCCAACTTAATTACTTATTAATTGATTTTTCATTGACGTAAATAGGAACTGCGCATAACCACAATAATGGTGCCTTTTTAAATTCCTCCAAAAATGGATGATTGCTGAGGTAAATCAAGGGGCCCCTCTTAGGAGGATTCAGGCGTCTGCGTCGGTACAAAGTTTCAACAGTCATGGCAGGCACACAAAAATAATACTAATAATAAAATGAAAAAATAAAAATTAATAAAAATACAGTAGTCAAGTTATAACTTGCTCTTAGACAGTGAAGCAACCAGAATTTTGTCATGTAGCGATCGATGAATCAGAAATCAATCTTTGTACACTGAATTCGTGTCAATATTTGGCGGAATGGAATCCCTTCCAAAAATAATATACCTGGGCAATTGGGCATGCTGCTTAGTTTTTGTCGAAACACGTGAAATTGTTTTTGAATCAATTGTAATTATTTCGGGGGAACATTTAATGGAAATTCCTTTAGCTTCATATAGAGTCTTAATTCATGCAAGACCAGAGCAATTCAATTGATTTTCAGAGGCAGAGATTTATCAAAGATTCCATTACCGTAATTCTCTCTTCCCATTTCCAGAATTTTTTCATTTCTCGAACCCCTGACATTTCTTGCCAACTTTTGCTTGCCCCTGACTCCAAAATGTCCAAATTCGCTGATATTCCCTGATCTCAACACTGAACCCCTTCCACTTCTGCAGATTCAAATTATAGAGAAAGGCATTCAGAAGTTGTTCGGGATCTCTCGAATGGCACCGGCCGTAGGTGCTGGGGAGTGGCGAAGCGTGAATGATCGATCATCGATACATCCCATTCGAAGCTAGGATAAAGAATCGATTATTGAGGTGTTCGTCGAGAACACTCTGTTTATCGACCCTTTTCAATATGTTTAAATGGCAGATCAATCGATATATCGCAAAACGCGCCACGCCTCTGGTGGTGAGATGACGCGCTACTCGCGGAATTCCTTGCATTTTCTCCAGGATTCTGAACCACCGAAAACCCAATTTTTTTTTCTCTGTCCACTGAACCAAAAAAAAAAAAAAAAAAAAAAAACTTTTTCAGTCGATGAAGAGGCAAGTGTGCGCGGCGGCGGAGACTGACCAGGGCCGATACGAAACTGGAGAAGCGCGCGGCGAGTGAGGAAGCCGCAAATTGCTCAACAGGATGGAAGTCGGTGGCGCACAGATGTGCAACATATTGAGACAACTCCGCGCTATCAGTGTTTAATATTTACCTTTTAGAAGTTCCAAAATCATTGATATGCCGACTAGAGTCCCTTTATACTGAGAGTCAAGACAATGTGAATCCATTTCTGATCGGTTCCCGTATTTTAGGCCTTCACAGTGTCACAAACGGGAATAAAGATTACACTTTCACCGACTGCAAAGATTATATACTGGAATGGACCAGGGAATTACGGGTTCGGCAAGGAACTCACGGAATGAGAGAAGGAACGGAGAAAGGAATTTGAGAATGGGCCGATCAAAGATTACGAAAAACGTTCAATTTCTGTAATCTTTATTCCCGTTTGGGACTCCATGAGGGGGTGTTGTCATGACTCTCAGTATAAAGGGACTCTAATGCCGACAAGCGCGACCGTTGTCGTCTCGTTGTTATCCTCGTTGTGTCCAGTGGCGTGGCGTGCTTTGCGATACATCGATTGATCTGTCATTGAAACCTATGGAAAAGGATCGATGAACAGGGTGTTCGCAACGAACACCTTAATAATCGATTCTTTACCACGAATTCAAATGAGGAAATGTAGATAATCAATCAATCACGCCGCGCCACTTTGTGTTCATATGCCGTAGCAGTGGCGTGGCGTGCTTTGCGATATATCGATTGATCCGCCATTTAAACCTATGGAAAAGGATCGATTATAAGGGTGTTCGCTGCGAACACCCTGTTTATCGATCCTTTTCCATAGGTTTAAATGGCGGATCAATCGATATATCGCAAAGCACGCCACGCCACTGTGCCATAGTGCTCTTGAATGATCCGAAGAGTCCGTTCCCACATCGACGGAAGTAAAGGAGAGGGGCCACCCCCCCCCCTTCAAAAAACGTGAACCTGCCCCTCCTCTACTCGGTCTCTCCTAAGAAACGCGAGGCACTTTTCTTAATCAGTGTGTGCAACTTACATCTTGGAAAAGGTACTTTGATCAATTTTTCAATGAGAACGGCTCAAAATTGCTTTTGAGAGGACTCTCTTGTTTTTCAAAATTTTCCCCCGGAACCCCCTTCGACGTAAGGGCAATCCCCCGAAGTATCCTTTGGATCTAGAGGAGTCTCGGGGATCTCTCCAATGGTGTGTCTTTTAGTGCCCCCCCCCNGGATGAGAAGTCCAGCCAGTGGTGCAAGTGCTTCTAGAAGACCTTCGCAATTTTCTGCAACGCCCAAGCAAGGGTTTCGCAAATAGGTTAGCACAACGCGCTGATCAAAATTATGTTGTATCTTCGAAACGCTCAAGGTTTTCGCAAAAAGCAGGTCAACATAACGCGCTGATTTAACCTAAAACCCCTGAGAAAATAAATAGAAAATAATAAAACAACTTTTCAGCCTCCGCAAATTGGTCGCGACCGCGCGGTAGAAGACAATTTGCCACGTTCTCACACATTCATGTTTCGATTTCCGTTAAAATTTTGCCACGTAATTGTTCCTCGAAAGGCGCGGAGTAAAAATGAAATTTGAAATCATATACGATATAAGCCCATTTTCCCGTACATACTGTGCTATTTCTTGACAGGACAGCATGAGCGGAAGGAATTTTGGTGGGGGGGTATTTTGGACACTAAGATGTAATTGCCCACAAAATGACGTCAGGACTTCCGGCGAAAAGAGGGGGACGGAGTGCTGGTACCTGGCATGTATACCCGACGAGAGTAGAGAGGGATCAGAGGATTATGGCAAAACTGACGTTAAGTTACCAGTTAAATTTCAAGCTGCCCGAATCTTGACAAGTTACAAAATTTAGGAGATAAAAGAAAGAGAGAATAGGTGAAAAATCAATATTTTCTGTTCAGTTAAAAACACAATTTTAGGAAACAGGTTTTCTTGAATATTTTACAGCTGCTTCAATTGATTTGACGAGTCCTTGGTAGGTATTTACCAATTTTTGTTTTGTTTTTATAATATTTGTGATTTAATGTGCTCGGTACTAGATGACCTGACAAACAAGGCTGCGGTATGCCCTCGTTGCTCGTAGAAGGANGAAGATAGGAAGAAGAAGAATAAGTAGAAGAGGAAGAGGAGGAGGAGGAGGAGGAGGAGGAGGAAGAATAAGAAGAATAAGAAGAAGGTTTTCCTGCGAGTATTGAATCATGACCTTAATTTTTTCTCTCATTTAAGTATAAAAATATTTCACAGGTTTACTGTTCAATCGGGCCAGAGGCGTGGCAATGTTTGGTTTTGAAGGGGCATGAGATGGAGCACGGTAGGCGATTTTGTTTGTTCTTCGACGTGAGAAGCGCGAGGAGGTGTGAAACATCTCAATCCTCCATCAGGTGCATCACGAAGAAGAGTAAAATAAATAATCACTCAAGCTAATGCAAAAATAGGCATACGCATAGGCACGAGAGCGCCCTAACATTTCACAACTCCACTACTTTGACTTCACATCGTGAGGCAGACCATCGCATCACTGGAGTTCCAGCGAGAGCAACTAGCTTAGCCTAGAGCCCCGTTATACTGAGGGTAAAGACAATGCGGATCAATTTCTGATTGGTTCCCGTATTTTAGGCCTCCACAGTGTCACAAACAGAAATAAAGATTTCATTTTCACCAAGTGAAAAGATTATAAGCGGGAATTGGAGCACGAAAAGGAACAAACGGAATGAGAGAGGGAACAGAGACAGGAAGTCGGGAATGAGTTGATCAAAGATTACAAAAGCCGCTCAATTTGGGTAATCTTTATTCTCGTTTGTGACATTCATGAGCCGCGCTGTCTCAACTCTCCCTAAAAAGGGACTCTAGTTATGAATATTTTTCCTTGAAATTTTCAGGTGTTTTAGATTAAAATGCGAACGAAATTTTCTAAAAAAACGAAGGAAAAATGCTAGAAAATTTTCCCGAAATTTGAGATCTGTCAAAGGAGGTTTGGCAACGGCTGGAGGTTTGGCTGTAGCCTGTGTCACACTGTCAAAATACTCCATCAAAATGTCAAGGTCAAGGGCTGTGATTGATTCAAGTCATCGAATGAGCCAATCACAACCCCTGCACTGAAAAAAAGTAGCTTGGATCAAGCATGATAATTCTTGAATTTGCCGCCAAGAATTTTCTTTATCTTGCTTTAAGCTGACTTTTTCTTCATTCAAGAAAAATAATGCTTGGGTTAAGCAAAAAAGTAGCTTATGTTAACCAGCAAAATTTTTGATTTAAGGTGATTCGTCAAGCTCAAGTGACGTGGTCGAACTGGCATGCGATATATCGCATCTTTTAGGTAAAAAATCTCGGCAGATTTTGAATTTTCAGCAAAAAAAAGGACGATAGCCCCTGCGCATGAGCCTGAAGAATCATTCTAAACCCAAAAATCGGCAAAATTTAGAGAAATGAAAACAGGATAGTGTTTGGAAAAAAACCTCGCATTCGATACCGAAATCGATAGCTGAATCGAATGCGAGGTTTTTTTCCTAACACTATCCTGCTTTCATTTCTCTGAATTTTGCCGATTTTAAGGTTTAGAATGATTCTTTAGGCTCATGCGCAGGGGCTATCGTCCTTTTCTTTACTGAAAATTCAAAATCTGCCGAGATTTTTGACCTAAAAGATGCGATATATCGCATGCCAGTTCGACCACTTCTTTTGAGCTTGACGAATCACCTAAAGAAGAAATACTTCTTTTAGCAAATTTAAGATTCTTATTTTTTCCAGTGTGACCTTGATATTTT